TCTGTGGTTTACAATCTCTCCTTCTTACTTTACTACAATTCCCCCTTCTCTCTCTGGTTTACAATCTCTCCTTCTTACATTACTACAATTCCCCCTTCTCTCTCCGGTTTACAATCCTTCCTCCTTATTTTACTATAATTCCCCCTTCCCTCTCTGGTTTTCAACCCTTCCTCCTTACTTTACTATAATTCCCCCTTCCCTCTCTGGTTTACAATCTCTCCTCCTTACTTTAATACAATTCCCCCTTCTCTCTCTGGTTTACAATCCTTCCTCCTTACTTTACTGCAATTCCCGCTTTTCTCTCTGGTTACAATCCTTCCTCCTTACTTTTTTACAATTCCCCCTCCTCTCTCCGGTTTACAATCCGAACCCATCTCTCCTCAACCCGCCCCTTTCATGTCCATCCCATCTGCCAATATTTCCTCATCCTGGATACTCTAGAATTCTTGGGCTACGGGCATACTCAAGGATGCTCCTGGATACTCCTGGATGCTCCTGGTTACTCCTGGATACTCCTGAATACTCCTGAATATTCCTGGATACTCCTGGATACTCCTGGATACTCCTGGATACTCCTGGATACTCCTGGATACTCCTGGATACTCCTGGATACTCCTGGATACTCCTGGATACTCTGGATACTCTGGATAATCTGGATACTCTGGATACTCCTGGATACTCCAACTCCGTAGTTTTCTTGAGTCACTATCCGTTCAAACCCATTCCTAGTTCAACCATGCTCCAAGTTCAGGTTTGCTTCAATTTCAGTCCTGTTTCTGGTTCAGAATTGTTTCAGAACACGTCGTATTCCTGGTTCAGGTTCCTGGATATAAAGATTTATAAACTGAAGATCACTTGTATCTGGCGGGGCTTTTGACTAAATCCAAACATATTTTAGTTTCGGAACGTGCATATTTTAGTTGGCAGTGGCATATAATGAACATTGAACATACATTGAACAACATGTATAAGTAATGTGGCAGTCTCAATTTCCAGCCCCTTCTTACTACGATATCCATAACTAATCATATTTGCCTCAATTACACATTAGATGCAAAATAAAGAATTAATTTAAATTCTAAATACGCGGGTTGATAATGTAGATTTCTCCATGTATTGAACTCAGAACTGTTTCTCCGTAGTTTGTTTAGACATCTAACATTTTCGGTAGAATGTTTACTTAAAGGGACTGTAAGCGTAATTTCAAGTGACCCTCCATACGAAGATGGCAAAGCCTATAAATTCACAACGGTACCCTTAAAAGCTTTGTCTGATCAAGTATGAATAAGATATTAATGTTAATAATGTTGAAAACTGTTTATTTTCAAAATAGGGTTCTCTACAAAAGTGACTTGCACATATCTAGTATGGAGGACAACATAATGGAATCATCAGAAAAAAAAACTGTTAGAACATCAAGCTGAGTTCTACTAAAATAAAACGTGTTAACTTACTTGGTAATACTACGTTCGGGAGCTGAGTTTTTAATTCCTAATAAAAGCACGTTTAGGAAGCCATGAGTTTTTAATACTTACTACTAGCCTAAAAATAGCACGTTAAGGAGCTGAGTTCTTAATTTCTCTAAACATTTGTACTAGCCTCTAAAAGCACGTTTGTGAGATGAGATCATACTAAAAATGTGTTAAATAACGTGTTAATAGCACGTTAAGGCGCTGAATTGTTATTGAAAACTAGCCGAATAACTTTTTCAGAGCACTTTAAGAAGTTGAGTTTTTACTTTAATTGTACTGACTAACTTCGATTAGGAACGTTAATGAGCTGATGTCTAATCTGAAACGGAAAGGACTAACACGTGTCCTAAATAACGTCCAATTGAATTTGAAAACATTTGAATACGAATGGAAAAACAGTTAGAAATATCTATCTATTTCTGTAGTAGGAAAAGTTTTCGAACATTTATCATGTTTTATCGTTAAAAAGTTTTCAGTAGGGTAAAAACAACTTTTCTCTCAATCTATCTATCTTTACATCCATCTATCTGTGTATCTAAATAACTATCTATCCATCTCCAAATCCTATAAAAGTTTTCAAACAAAAAGCTGGGATGAAAGACTAGTATAGACTGCATGAGTTAGTGACAAGTAACATGAAACTTCATTCCAAAGGAGACAAACTTTGTCGTTTAAAAAGGAAATTCGACTTAAAACTTTAAAGATATGATGGTCCCAAGGTTAGACTAAGTCTTCTGGCTCGGATAAAGTCCTGAAATGGCTGATTAAATTATTTTACAAAGAAAGGCACAATTTTACAGTTGCGGGGATTCATGAATAAGAGGAAACCGACAGTATAAATTTCGTGAATCGTCTCTGAAGTCTCATCCTTTGTGGGTCACCCTGTATACAACTTTGCACATCTTTAACCCCCGAGAAACTAGAAAGCAAGCCAAACCTCAGATATATAAAGTTGATAGGCCTCCATCCTTGATCTCACCTTTCCGACCCTTAATCCTGTTTAAAGCCCTGGATATGAAGATTTAAAACATTGTTTTGGGCTTAATTTTTTTTTAGTCGTAATTGGCAAAATCATAATATATTTTAGTATAAGGTCGGTGTTCACCGCCCTTAAAACTGTATTATGAAAAAATTGTAAATAAGAAAAATTTAAAGAATTTGAGAAATTATCATAACAAATTGTCAATTGATAATAGAAGAATACATATGTAATTTAATATGTCTAAGAGCCAGGCAGTGGCGTAAATAAGGGGGGTTATTGGGGTTACTTACCACCCCTAGAATCCTAAGGGTAATTACCCCCCTAGAATCTTAGGGGTAAATCCCCCCCCCTAGAATCCTGGGGACACAAATATCCCCGTTTAGTAACTTGATCTCCATTCTCCATGTTCATGATTACAATTAACTTTTAGGAAAACTGTAAAAAAAATAATAATCTTACTCAATCAACTTTATCAAAGTAACATAGATAAATTTTACCCAAAAAACGAGTTTTTTAATGCATTGGCGTAATTGCACTATATGTCAAATTAAGTATAAAGCTCTCCCGGGGGGGGGGGAATAAAATGTTAAAAGATAAAGATTATTAAGAATTAAGTTTTAAAAAGTAAGACATTTCTCTTTAAATATAGTGAAATTAAAATATATACCTAGTACATTGACGACAAGAAAATTTTAGAAATTAGAAATTAGAATATAAACAAAGACAATTTTTTTTTCAAAGTTTTGCAGAGTAGCTTTTCTAAAGATTTAAAAAAGTTACATCTTTTACTTATTAGAATCAAAACTATTTTTTATGTTACTTAAAATAAATTAAGTTTTTTTTACAGATCTTTATAGTCAAATGAATGACGGATATAAAACAATGAAAAAGCTGAAAGATATGAAATGAAGCCTTTATTTGATGGAATTTGTAAATGCCAGAAATGAGTGGAAAATGCAAATCAAACCCAACTAAAACCAATAATTTGATATACATCATGATATTTTTATAGGGGGGGTAAAAAAATTTACCCACCTACAGAATCCTTATTTACACCCATGGTCAGCTATGGGGCCTGGGGGGGGGGCGGGGCATGCCTAGGGGTTACATAGGGTTTCAGGCCCCTCCCCCCCGTATGCCCCTGCAGTTTTCAATCATAACTACTTTAACGCCATCGAGTCGAGAAGAAAAAAATGTTTTGAATTTTCCGTAAATTAATGTTTAGCTTGAAAGAAAGATTATAATGTTATTTCGCTCAGACAGAAGACGACATAAACTTTATATAGACTTAAATAGATCAAAAATTTAAACAGTAGAAGGCATAGAAGGAATTAAAAAGTTAACATCGACAGGGCTTTGACTGAGGGGGGTGGCGACAGGACACTTGCCCCCACACCCCCCGTTTTAAGATCAAATTTAAGGAGAAAATTAGATTTAAGGGTTCGCGTGCCCTGCCCTGCCCCGCCTGCGTGCACCTCCCCCCCCCAACAAAACAAAAAAAATTCGGTCTTGATTTTGATAATATTAAAATTCATAATCCGATTCATTAACTATTATTATTAGTTTCTCGAGTAAATTTGAATAATAAACAGTGTTGAAATGTCGTCTTCTCTAAAGTTACAATTGTTTTCCAAATTCTAGTTTTTGTTTTCACTTTTTCTTCTCAAACTATTCTTACATCTCAATTTTAATAACTCTCTTCCTCTCGATCCAAATCTCAATAATAAGATTCCATATAAACATTTTTTACCATATGGTTCATAAGCGCAAAAATATTGGAGAAATAAAAAAGTGAAACGAAAAGTGTTTTTAAAAAAATGTATTCTGAAAAGTTTAGATCCTATCCCTAGATAAAACAGCTGAATTAGAAGTCAGCTGGTGAGATGTCGTCTTCTGTACATTAATCCTAATCCAAGTTTCTAAACCCGTCCTAGACCCGACCTAGCTGCAACTTAACAGCCGAAATAGCCCAGGAAAGCGAGGCGAGAAAGTCGCCGCTAAGTCATGGTTAGGAAATTTTTAACGAATCCAACATTTTTGTTTAAATTTTAACACTTTTGGTAAAAACCGTTAGCTATTACGCCATTTTGTGTTTGTATGTAATAACTAATACCTTTGTCTAATTTTTTGGGTTTTAAAAACACATTTTTTGTTCTTAAAAAGTTAGAAATTTGAAATTTAAGCTTTACTGTTCCAAATGTATTTGTAACTTTTTATATTTGTATAGTGTCCTAAGTGATTTGCAATAAGTTGATTAGTTTTTTTTTTTGAAAGGTTACACTAAAATTTTAGAAGTTTAACATGTTTAAATTGTATATATTTGCTAAATCGGGACCCTCAAGAAAATATAAAAAAAGATCCAAAAACAAACGTGTTAAAACGTAATTTGTTCTTTTTTAGAATAAAAATATTGGATTGTTTAATAAAAGCAAACTTGAACAGAATACAATTCTGAAATGTTGGAAGTTTTATCAAAAGCAGTATAATATGGATTGTATTACGAACCAGCGTAATATAATAGTGTTTAAATAGAATTAAAAATAAAAGAAACGAATCAAACAAATTTTATTCAACTCTAAAATGTAATTAACTTAATTCAAGAGAATAAATACTCCGATCAACTGCAGGGTAAAAAACAATCTACATATAAATAATTTCAGCCTTAAACTAGAGGTTTAATAGGTTCTTTCAGCTCAGAGCCGTAATAAAGCAGGACATTTTCTCAGGGTATACTGTGGAACTAGAGAACTGTAAGAATATAGGACTGTCGGATTGTAAAAATAATAATCATAAAGGAATAATAAATATTGGACTGTAGGTTTTACATACTACAAGACTGGGAGGATTGTAGGAAATCTATCTCAGGATTTACTCTAGGTCTCTGGAATTGTAGGACTGTTGGATATCTATTCCAGGGTTTACTCTAGGTCTGTGGAATTGTAGGACTGTAGGATATCTATTCCAGAGTTTGCCCTAGATCTCTGGGACTTTATGAAAGATATCTATATCAGAGTTTACCCAGGTCTGTAGGACTGTAAGTCTGTAGTTCTGTAAGACTTGTAGGACTGTAGGAATTTATGACTGCAGGGCTGAAGGACTGAAGGACTGTATGACCACAGGAATGTATAGTACTGTATGACTGTAGAACTGTAGGATTGTAGAACTGTAGGATTGTAGAACTGTAGGATTGTAGAACTGTAGGATTGTAGAACTGTAGAACTGTAGGACTGTAGAACCTTAGAAATGTAAAACTGTAGGACTGTGAGACTGCAGGACTGTAGAATTCTAGGACTATAGAATTCTAGGACTGTAGAATTCTAGGAATGTAGGAATGTAGGACTGTAGGACTGTAGAACCGAATGACTGTAAGACTAAAGGACTGTAGGCCTGTAGAACTGTAGGATTGTAGGATTGTTGAACTGTGAAACTGTAAAACTGTTGGACTCTAAAGGACTGTAGAACTGTAGGATCTTAGAACTTAAGAACTGTAGGACGGTAGAATTTTAGAACTGTAGGACTGTATAACTGTAGATCTGTATAGAACCGTAGAATTTTAGAACTGTAGGACTTTAGGACTGTAGAACTCTGTATAACTGTAGATCTGTATGGGACCGTAGAATTTTATAATTGTATGACTGTATGACTGAAGGACTTTAGAACTGAAGGACTTTAGGACTATCGAACTGTAGGACTGTAGAATTTTAGAACTATGGAACTGTTGGACAATCATCTGGGGGGGGGGGCTGCAGGTTATCTATCACATCAGGTTCAGTTAAGGATTCAGAATCTGAAAAATATAATTTTAATTAATGTAAATCATTATTTTATATGTATTAGAACAATTAAAATTCAGTACATACAAAATTAAAAGGTTTAAGAGGATTGAGAAAATGAAAAGTGAATGAATGAAATAAATGAAACAAATTAAGTAAATTTATGGATGAATGAGTGAATGAATGCTCCTAATCTGTATCCCTAAAGTCCCTGAAGGGAGATAATCAGCAGAAAATAAGATAGTATAGCTCTCTCAGTTCAAAACTATACCCGGAGGGAATATTTCTGCTGGGTTGGCACTGAACCAGGTTTTATACCTGGATTTATCATTTTGACAAATCAAAAATATTTTTACAATTTAAAAAACTTTTTTCAAGTTAAAAATTGGAATTATGTCGTCTTTTGTAACTGTCTGTAACGATCCTTTTCAATATAAACGTCTTATTAAATCGTTAACGGCACGAAGCATCAAAAAAAAATTGTTAGCGGTTAAATCGCTCTATTCTTAGCATTTAAGCTTTTGAAAACAGAAGGCGATATTTAAAACCTTCAAAACATGTTAAAAATGTTTTTCTTTTTTAAGTTAAATGCAATTTTAGGTTGAAAAAATTAAAATTAACGAAATTCACCGTTTAAATAAAAGTCTGTTCCGTTTTCGTTTTCAGCCGTTAATTTTTTTCAAAAACGGTTAATTTAACGTTTGAAAAATTAACGGTTTGAGCCGTTCGTTATCGGACACTTCCTTTAATTTTTAAAAACCTCCATTCCGTTAAGGGAACTTTGCCCAGCCCTAACCGTAAACGCTTTTCAAAGATATACTTTTTACTATTTTTCTATGAAAAGGCTGGTCACTACTTAGAAATAGACAGAAGGTTGATTTTTTACAAAATATGAATGAATCGTGTTTCAGTTTAAAAATTTAGAACATAATAGAAATATTTTATTTTCTTCATTGCTCTTCGAATAAATTTTAAAGGTTCACTAAAGATGACGTTAGCAGTCCCTTTAATAATGGTTTTTACCTTCTTCTATCTAGGGGCAGAGTGTATTTTCAGCATAGGTTGGATTTCCTCCCTTTCCCTTTATATTGTTGGAGGATCCTAGCTCATCCTCTTCACTACACCTAGGAGAGGTAGATGGGTTTATATTGTTGGAGGATCCTAGCTCATCCTCTTCACTACACCTAGGAGAGGTAGATGGAAAGGTCTAAAGAAAAAGCTGAACAAATTAAATTTATGATCAGAGCTGGGAACTTCAGTGTTTAATTCTCATAATTCCGATCTCTTGATCTCGATATCCACTTTGAGCACTTTTAATTTAAGAATCTTTAAAAACTGTATTTTTACATGATCTTTATTCTAGTTATTCCTCCCCTAATCAAAGCTCCCTTCATGCGGGATATCGAATAAAGACTAGATTAATTTGTATATTTACAGAAGATCGAGATCCATCCACAATACAAGATCTGTTCCCAGCTCAAGTGTTTGATGTGGGAATAACTTTCTGGGGTTTAAGTTGGTTGAATTTAGTTGGGGAAAAGGAGAAGTGCTAGATCAAATAGTCAAAGGTTGAAATATCATAGGTTTGCACCATCAGCTTGAAAAGATATTAGGGATAAGAAAATTGAAGATTGTGATCAATTCCTTTGCTTCAAAACACGATTTAACATTTAACGATTATTTTCCAGTCTTTCAAAAATGCTGCGCGTAACTTCTGAGAGATCAGAGAAATGACAAATATGTTGAATATTTTCGTTAATTTTCATAAATTCATTTCAGTGTTAATGTTATATGTAGTTAAAAAAAGGAATTCTGTTAATTTTTCAGATTTTTTACAAAAACTGAAATTTTCCATTTTAATTGTTATCATGAATATATATTTTTATTTCTAATGTCATCATCAATGCTTTTAAAATTAATAATTTAAATAGTTAATTTTTTATTTTGTTTCTAATGCCGCGTAAAGATGTTTGAAACTCCTCCTAAACTGAACTATCTCCGAGGTCTGGAGTTGATGGATCATAAAACTATTTCCCCACCTTATTGGAGTTCCAGGGACTGTTAGAATATTGAGAAGATTATCTTTCATTAAAACTTCCATCTCCTTCCTCTTTTGCGCCCTCTCCCTCTTCTTGTACGCCACCTCGTTCCTCCACAACCTGTTCTTGTAGTAGCTGGCGAAGCTGTTGACAACTATAGGTATTGGAAGGGTAAGGATGAAGATACCACAGAGCGCACATAAACCTCCGATTAGTTTTCCCGGAAACGTTGACGGAGACAATTCTCCGTACCTGAAACAAACAGATCTAGAACGCTTTGAAATGGTTGAACAATAGAACTTTTCTTAAAGGGACAGACCATCTATGTAATGTAGTTAAACTGAGTATGCAGTGTTGTGGACAAATTCTTTAGGATTTATTTGAGACATATAAAACTTTTCCACGATGGAACTTTTTTATAAAGATACAACAAAGCCAAGACTGTTAAAGGGACTGTACGTGTATGTTCAAGTGACCCTCCATGCAAAGAAGGCAATGCAAGGTTTACAACTGTACCCTTAAAAGATTGTCTGATTAAGCATAAAATAGATATCTTTTTTCTTTTAACTGTTTATTACTTTGCATTTTACTTTCTTATAAAATATAAGAAGCAAAGGAAAAATTATCAGAATTAAACACTTTTTGGGTCAGAAAAGATACGTATATTCCACTTATTTACTTTGATCAGATAAAAATTTCAAGGCTACAAAGTAAACCGGGCATTGCCATCTTTGCATGGAGGGTCACGCTTACAGTCCCATTAATTGTAATAATGCATGAAAAGATACATAATCTTTGTATTTAGATTTTTGTTTTGTTTGTTAGATTCATTCTCTTGAATTCGTTTAAATCCTTACTTCAGATTGGCTGAAATTTTCAAGACCTGTATAATTGGTCAAATCCACGATCTTGGACCAATCACAAGACGGGCCCAATACAGGCTTAAGATACGGTCAAGTTAATAACCTCATTAGAGTGATTCCTGGAATCCTAGAAAACCTTTTTTTTAAAGCAAAGTTATCCGCGAAACTATTGACGATTCTCCTTCAACAAGAACAATGCATAAATGACTCAATGACTCCATGATTTAAGCTCTGCTATGTACTAGGAAAAGCTAAATGTTTTTTCCAAAATGAAAACAAATTAGATACTTCTTCATCCATGAAAATATATAGATTGCAGAAATATTGTAGTTTTTGTTCAAAGATTTAGGTAAATTTAATTATTATGGGTCTCATTGTTTATTTGTATATTTTAATTTATTTATATATTTGATAATTTGATATGATATTTGATAATTTGATATTATATTTGATTAAAGTTTAAAGTTGTGTATTGAATCCTGGAAACTATAATGTTTTGTCCTTAATATATTTCAACTCTACAGTGCAAATTGTTTAATAAATAATACCAATTAGTTTGGTTTCCAACTCTCTCCAAACTCAAATTCACCATTTACAATTTCTAAATTTGAAATTAAAATTAAAACTAAACCTGTAAAATATTTTACCGCCTTTTGACCAGCATTACCGACCCATGATTCCCCTTATAGTGGGATATTACGAAACTGAACGTCTCTTGGAATAATTAGGTAAAATCAAGGTTATTATGTAAAGAAAGTTAATTGCAGTTGCGTATACTCTGCATACATATTGAAACCAGTTCTCTCTGGGCGGAATTTGTAAATAAAAATAGATGCATCAGTGTTCGTTTAGTATCACAGGAGGTTAAAATCATTAAATTTTGATAATTCACATAATAGTTTCCTATGACCAAAATATTTCATTGATTTTTATGTGAAATATGGATCCCATATCAGGCTTCGACATCCGTCACGTGTTTCATTACCGCCCAGAGACAGGACACTGTAGTACAAAAAATGCGTACACCTCTGGAATAAACTTGGGTAAAATAACCTTCCGCTCTGCGACGTTTCCGCGAAAAAATTCGCATATTTTGAACTTAAAAAATGTCACTTAACAACGGGTTCCCTCGACCAAGTTGACTAAGCTCTGGATGTTTTGTAGGCAAAATAGGTCTCTTGGGAAAGTTCTTTCCCCCCCGATGTCAGACTGCTACCAGGATAACGGTCAGGTATTGGATAATCAGGGTTAAAGGAAACCAACTCAACTTATCTTTTTCAATTAATTATAAACCTTGAGAACAATTCAAACCAAACTTAACAAATCAAAATTTAGGTTTTTTTGCGATCAATTTAATCTTTACGTTTCCGTTTACAATTGGAAAAATAATGGATATTTGTCCAGGCCGGGCTTAGTATTTACCAAGGTACTATTGCAAGGAAAGTTATTTCAGAGGTGTACACATTTTTTGTACTGCAGTGTATTTTCTTTGGGCGGAAAATTAAACGTAAGACGGATGTCAAAGCCTGACAGGGAATCAATTTTCACAAAAATAATCTATTAAATATTCTGGTCATAGGAAACTATTATGTGAATTATCAAAATTATCAAAATTAAATGCTTTTAACCTCCTCGGATATCAAACGAACACTGGTGCATCATTCCGCCCACAGAGAACTGGTTTCAATACCTACGCAGAGTTTAAGCAACTGCAATTAACTTTCCTTGCATTAATACCTTGGTATATACTGTATAGGGTTGATTAACAAGATTGGAGGATTTATCGTAAAAGCTATACCGAGTCTTAAAAAATGGATTTTTATATTTCAAAATCAGGAAAGGGGCTTTTCGTGTTTCCAACAGCCTGTATCCGACTGGGGATAAAGTGGAACAAGTTTTTGAGGTCTTCATGACAATTCTCTAAAATGCGGTGATCAGAGGCCGAATTTAAAGAATTTAAGCCACGGCTCAAAAATGGTTGGTTCCACTTAAAAATTGTATTACATTTTTCAAGATATAAGCCGGCGATCAATTGAAACCGGTTTTTGGAGGATTTGAGACGCGGCTCAAATTCATTAAATTCGGACAGAGGATTCTTTTAAGAAACAAGATTTTGGACAGTCGAGGTTTGACTTGCTCAAGCTTATCACCGATTGGATCTTCCTGAAAGTAGGTTCTGAGTTAGAAGACGATATCCGTCTTGCCGAAAGATTATCATTCAATGGTTGCCAAGAGAGAGCCTTCACGTGGTGCAACCGACAGTGCTGCGAAGCACTGCAAAGCCTCTCATCAAACTCTTCAGTTTCTGACAAGGAACCAAGAGATCTTTCTTTATTATCATTCAATCCAGGTGGCTGTATAAAATGTTTAGTGGATAGTTAATTTGAACTTAACTTTGCGTAAATGCGTAAATATTATTTAGTATACAAAGTTGGACGGAATCCAAATTCTATCCGCCAACCTTTTTAATTCACCCTTTATATCAAGCTCAGGTAAAATCTCAGGAAAACTTGAAATTTCTAGAAATGCAAAACCAATTTTTCATGCTACGAGAATCTTTCAGCAAAATTTGAAATAATATTTATAGTTTTAATAGTTCGCAGTTGTTTAAATAATTATTTCGAATTAAACTCAAACTAAAGTCTGAACAGATGATTTATTAATTCTCCCATTTTAACTTGGAACGGAGAGAATAAAATGACAGATCTTAACATTTATATTGTATACTGGACTACAGTGACACTCTGGAAAAGGAATTGAATTTTTGCCAAAAACTATGAGTTTCTAATTTCAGTATCGTTGCAACCCAATGTCGTAGACCTTTAATAGTTCAAACTTTGAAAGATATTAGATCAAATAATGTAAGTTTACATCATAAGGCTGCAAAGATATCGGTTTTACAAAAACTGAATTGGTGGCAAAGACTTAATTCCTTTGTTTGATAATTTAAACGATTACACGACTTTTGAAGATGATCCAAAACTTCCGTACTTTTAAATTATAGATTTCAATCAAAATGATCATTTCATGTAAATTCATGTCTATTTATGTCTATTTATGTCTATTTATGTCTATTCATGTCTATTTATGTCTATTCATGTCTATTTATGTCTATTCATGTCTCTTCATGTCTCTTCATGTCTATTTATGTCTATTCATGTCTATTCATGTCTATTTATGCCTATTTATGTCTATTCATGTCTATTCATGTCTATTTATGTCCATTCATGTCTATTTATGTCCATTCATGTCTATTTATGTCTATTAATGTCTATTTATGTCTATTCATGTCTATTCATGTCTATTTATGTCTATTCATGTCTATTTATGTCTATTTATGTCTATTCATGTCTATTTATGTCCATTCATGTCTATTTATGTCTATTTATTTCTATTTATGTCTATTCATGTCTATTCATGTCTATTTAAGTCTATTTATGTCTATTTATGTCTATTCATGTCTATTGATTTATATTCATGTCTATTCATGTCTATTTAGGTCCATTCATGTCTATTTATGTCTATGTCTATTGATGTCTATTGATTTCTTTTCATGTCTGATAATGTCTTATAACATCTATTCATGACTATTTATGTCTATTTATGTCTATTCATGTCTATTGATGCCTATTGATTTCTATTCATGTCTGATAATGTCTAATTACATCTATTCATGTCTAATAGAGTAAATATAATTATAATTTTCCTTCTCCAAGGAGAAACTGAAAACAGAAATGAAGAAAGAATATTCAATATTCGATATTGAACAATTTGAAAATTTTTCTTGAATTTGAAGATTTCTTTATATTTCACCTGCCTTGAAGTTTATTAAATTTATTTTATAATATTAAAGTCAAGTTCGGATAAATTTGATTTAAGAAAACGTGACTTAAGTACAGTTTACGCTGCAGAACATATTATAAATATAGTTTAGTTTAGTTTAGTTTAGTTTAGTTTAGTTTAGTTTAGTTTAGTTTAGTTTAGTTTAGTTTAGTTTAGTTTAGTTTAGTTTAGTTTAGTTTAGTTTAGTTAGTTAAATAAGTGCAAATTACGTAGAATTCAATTAATGGATTTTAAAATCTTATTTTAAATATGCTTAAATATATCTTTCACGGGATGGGGGGGGGGGGGGGTTGGTTGGTAGAATAAGAGAATTTTTAATTATAAAGAGCAAGTTTCCGTCAATTTAAAAGTTCTGAGCTCTTTTCTTCATTTCTTAGATTATGGATCTATTTATATGATGGTTTCACTGAAGTAAAATAAGAACTCACCCTACGGTAGTAAGTGTCATGAGTCCCCACCAGAAAGAGTCCAGGAAGGACCAAGAGCCGGCAGGATTATCCTTCTCCGCGAAATAAACTAGTGAGGCGAAGGTGAGTACTGCTACCCCTACTAGGAGCATTAGTAAACCTAGTTCTTTGTACGCCTGGTTCAGGGTGTATATTAGAGACTGTAGTCCGGCAAAATGTCTGACGAGTTTAAATATTCTCATAACTCGCATTACTCGTACTAATCTCACTATTTTACCGGCTTTACCCATGATTTCAAAGTCCTGAAAATAGAATTTTGAAAACCAATTAATTAAAAATGCAAATCTTAATATGAAACCTATTCTCTTGAACTGTCTGGAGTCTACCTATTCTCCTAACCTACATGCACTGAGTTCACTTATTCTCCTACCCTACCTGGAGTTCACCTATTCTCCAAACCTACCTGGAGCCCACCAATTCTCTATAGCCTACCTTGAGTCCACCTATTCCCATAACCTATCTGGAGTCCACCTATACTCATAAACTACCTGGAGTACACCTATGTTCCTAAACATCTTGGAGTTCATCTATTCTCTCAACCTACCTGGAGCTCACATATTCATCTCTGAACCTACCTTGAACCCACCTATATTCCTAAACTACCTGGGTACACCTATGTTCCTAAGCTACCTGGGTACACCTATGTTCCTAAATATCTTAGAGCTCCCCTATAAAAAAAACTACCTAAACTACCTAAACTCCGAACCTACCTGGAGTCCACCTATAACAAGGTCTAAAAGGAAAGGTATGATGGCGAAGAAATCTACCAGATTCATGGGTTGCTTGAAAAATCTCCATTTTCTTGGAGAGCAGACAAACCTAACGATATACTCCATCACGAAGAACAGGACGGCACAGTTTTCTAAATAAAACAAGATTAAAGTTACATTTAAAAATAATAAACCCAAAGACTACAAAGTAACTTAAATTAATTTGACTCACCTACGACCTCCATGGCGAGGACAGCCTCTGGATATGGCGGAGGTTGTCCTGTCTCCTCCTCCCCCTGGAACTCTGGGAAAGTGCCGAGGACGAAAGTGAAGGTTGAGAGAAGAACAACTCCAAGACTGGACCAGGCAAACATCTAGACATTATATATTTATTTGAAACCTTAATTATTACACTTGTGACTCTGCAGTTGTACAGTGAAGACCAGAAACACTCCTTTTAGACTCAAGTTGAGTTTCTAAATTGCCAAGGAGCATGAGACAAAGCAATTGTGCAGTGAAAATAAACCAATTTCATTTAATAAGTTTTTAAACAATTAAATATTTTGAATTTTTAGTCTTATAAAATGGATACAGTTAATACAGAAAATTCTGATTTGATTCATCTTCTTGTCATCGTTTCTTACTTCTTCCTTTTGTTCTTTTCCTTCTGTTGACTGACCCTGATTGGATAATTTTGAAAAAAATAAAAATTTGTCCAAACCAGTATTTTTGGGACACTCTGTAATTGTTTCAGTTTGCAGATTTGCTGCTGTAACCGGGAATATCTGATCGGCCTTGCACAGTTGATCAGGCTGGTTTGAAGTCAGGAGGGTGGGTAGGGGGGCCAGGTAGAAAAAAAAGGTTTTGGCAATTGCTGTTTTGAGTTTCATTCTGTTCTTTGAGTTTTGTGTCCAAATCCTAGTTTCGCCTAGTGGTCTTAAAAACGGAGCCTACAACAGTTGAGCCTACAACAGTTGTCCACTAAGAAATCAATTCCAAATGCTGTTTGTGACAAATAAGTAGGGTTGAGGTGTAGGAGTTGGAAGTTTGGAGTAGATCAGGAAGGAAGTGTATCGAGGGACTCCCATAGCATATCTTTAAGTGTTTCCCACTCCGCAGAATTTAACGTTTTTTTCCCATTGGAGTGCGCATTACATAAATTACTTTAGGACAGGGCCTGCCTCGTCCATAGCAAATTCATTCCTCGCAGCCGACAGAGAGAGTAGAAAACCAGTATCATTATGCATGGTTCACAACCTCTCGGGATTCTGCTTTCTTTTTTCTATTTTTTCTTGATTCTGGCGAGAGAGAGAGAGGGGAAGAAATGTAGAAAGACCCCCTAACTCTGCACTGTTTGCGCTGTTACCTATAATATGGTGTGGGCCTCCATGTTTAATTTTACACAGAGCTCTTCGGCTGCATAGTCTGTGCACTTGTAGACAATACTATCCTGGAGTCAAGTATCAACTGATTTCAATTATTAACTAATTTAATAAATTATTTGCTTTGTAACAACATCAAATACATTTAATTATTACTTTTATACTGTCTTTCTATTCCACAGTTTTCTGGTTCTAACTGTAAGCTAACTTCTTTCTGTGGACTGTGCTAAATAGATTAGTTTGGCATTAGAAAACAATTGAAAACAGAAAGTCGATCAGTGTATTGAAAGGCTTACAGGTCGTCACTGAAGTCTCATCCTCCGGGTGTCCCACGAAACATGACAGTTGGTAAATAGTTTTAAATGTCGTCTTCCAAACACTGTGTTAGATATTGAAGGCTGTTTGCATGGTTTATTTCGTTTATAAAATTATTTGCTCAAGTATATTTTACTTTGAAATTAATTTTGCTATTATATGACTCCTATATTATATTTTTACTATTGTCTTTGGTATTAAACAACTTAACAAATCATGGAAGAAGACATTCTAAACTATTTACCAACTGTTATGTTTCGTGGGACACCCTATATGTGGATGAATTTTAAAAAGAAAGAAAGTATTTTGTTAGGTATGGTTGGTTAGAACAGTCTTAAAGTTGATCTCTACGTTTCCAAGAAGGTCCTATATTGCTCGTCTATTCAT